GATATCCTCGACCTCCCATTCTTCCTCTCCTTCGATTTCAACCGGAGGTGGTGGCAACTGTTGTTGTCCCGGTAAAGGATCATTCGCATCGGGTGACAATAGCGAAACATGAAATACTGGATGAATTTTCATTGACCGGGGAAGTTCCAACTCGTAGGCATAGGGATTGACAATGCGCTTAACGTTATAAGGTCCAATACGTTTCCAGTCGAATTTCTTGGAAGGTCGTTTTGTTAGAATATGACGGGTCGATAGGAAAACTTTATCTCCTAAATGGTATCGAGGAGCTGGGGTCCGATTCCTATTGGCTGATTCTTCCTGTATTCTTTGTGCCCGAAACATCTCATTCCGTAAGAAGTCGATGATATTCTTCATTTCTCGCGCAATGCTATTAGCTTGATCTTCCGCCTTCGTTCTACCATGTTCCAAAGGCCCAAATGTTATCCTAGGATTTCTTCCCGAATTAGCATAAAAGGGGGAAACTTTTGTTGTTTCGGAAATGTGGTTGTTGGTTGCAAATTCAGCCATCGGTAGCCATCGGACCCAATCGTCTTGTTGATAGGAAACATAGCTTCGGAGGTATTGTTCCATTATGGCATTGATTCTTTCTGTCTGTCCATCTGTTTGGGGGTGGAATGCAGTAGAGAACTTTGGCGAGATTTCCAGTCGATCACAAAGAGACCTCCAGAATTCCGCGACGAACTGTGTTCCTCGATCGGATACCATAGTGTCGGGTAATCCATGTAGCTTCCAGACGTTATCAATATATAGCCTTGCTACTTCCTGTGAGTCCGCCTCCTTTGTCGTTGGTATCAGATGCCGCATTTTGGTTAGTCTATCCACCACGACCAAAATCGCATTATACCCATCGCTCTCAGGAAGATCAGTCACAAAGTCCATCGAGACATCTGTCCAGGGTCCATCGGGAATTGGCATGGGGCGAAGTACTCCATAAGGTGCATTGTGTGATGCCTTGCTACGGGTGCACACATTGCAATTCCTAATATACTGATCGACAAACTTCCGCATCTGTGGCCAGTAATATTCTCGACTTAGGAGCTCCAGAGTCTTCGCTCTACCCGGATGTCCTGCAGATGGTTTGTCATGATATTCTTTTAAAAGCCTTAGTCGAAGGTCATCGTCGTCTGGTACATATAGCATGCCTCGATAAATCAGCCGACCGTTGTTATCTTCCATACATTCAGCAAGTGAGATTTTGTTTGAGTGGCGTGTGCCATTCCGAAGCATATTGAGGACCTTGTTTGGGAAACTATCCACTTGGTAAGCTTTTGAAAATAACTCCTCTACAGTGGACGCTCCTTCAGCGGATTCATTTGACAAAGAACCCGCGAACAAACTTAGCTTGGTATCCAAATTTTTTCGCTTCAGAATCACTTGACTCTGATGCGTTAACCGTTCATCCCCCTCTTTAGGTAGGTCACCTGACCTCCTAGTCAATGCATCTGGTTTTGTTCCTTGTTTTCCTGGCCGAAATTGTATAACGAAATCGAAGCGTGAAAGAAATTCGGACCAACGGGCTTGTCGACGATTTAACAATTTTGTTGTCATAAAATACTCAAGATTCCGATGGTCGCTAAGAACTTCAATTGGAAATTGAGCTCCCTCCAGATGATGTCGCCATTCTTCAAAACATCGTATAATTGCTAAAAGTTCTTTGTCATAGATTTCGTAGTTGCATTCTGCGGGAGAGTGTTTCTTAGAAAAGAAAGCAACTGGATGTAGGATTCCTTCGTTGTCACGTTGAGATAGGATTCCTGCTGAAACATAGTCGGATGCATCAGTTTCTATCACAATTTTTCGATCTGGATTAAAATGAGCTAGTATCGGTGCCGTTGTAAACATCTTTTTCAAAGTCTGAAATGCTTCCTCCCTTTCATCCGTCCATTCAAATTTAACATTTTTCTTTGTCAAGGCTGTAAGAGGGGCAACAATTTTCGAATATCCCAAAATAAACCGTCGGTAGAAATTTGCAAATCCTAGGAATACTTGAACATCACGAAGGTTTGTCGGTGTAGTCCATTCCAAAACATCGATAACTTTCTTTGGATCCATTCTATTCCCATTTGGAGTAAGGATTAAACCAAGATATTTTGTTTCCTGAACCATAAATTCACATTTTTCAGGTTTAAGGTGAACATGATTTTCATCAAGTACCTTTAGAACCTTCTGAATATGTTCTTTATGTTCTGATAGGGTCTCGGAATAGATAAGGATATCGTCTAAGTATGCTGTTACGAATTGATCGAGGTAGGGACGTAGAATATCATTGATCCAATGCTGAAATGTGGCAGGGGCATTAGCTAATCCAAACGGCATTACTGTATATTCGAAATGTCCATATCGAGTCCGGAATGCTGTTTTCCATTCATCTCCTTCCGCTATCCTGATTTGATTATATCCCCATCGTAAATCCAACTTAGTGTAGTATTGTGCTCTTGACAACTTAGCCAGGGTTTCTTTCAACAATGGTAATGGATATCGATTTTTGATTGTAATCGCATTTAGGCCTCGATAGTCAACACAAAGTCGAAGGGTTCCATCGCTTTTCTTCACAAACAGTATGGGTGCTCCCGCTGGTGATTCACTGGCTCGAATAAATCCTTTGGGTAAATTTTCATCAAGATATTCTCGTAGTGCTTTTAACTCAATTTGAGATAATCCATATATAGGTCCATATGGTGGTCGTTTGCCTTCCTCTAATACTATCTCGATGTCATGGGATGGTCGATGTGGTGGGAGAATTGAAGCATCATATTCTTTAAACATGTGAAGACGATGGTGAAATTCTTTCGGTACTAATTGTTCGATATCGATAGTGGATTTCTCGGTTGCTGAAACGATGACTGTATGGTGTTCCGGTAAGGGGATTGAGATACCATGAACAATAACTGCAGTTCCACTGAGTGAACAGTGTTGACAACAGCTTCGAGAGTCAAAAACAAGTAGATTTTCTTTTGGTCGAATCGTAACATCATGTCGTCGCATCCAAGGTATCCCCATCACAATCGGATAGTGTCCTAACTTCGTTACAAAACATGGCGCCGTTTCCCGATGACCATGAATGTCTAGCGAGACATCGACAATATGGGTAATTTTTCCTGACTTAATAGGCCTTCCGTCTATAACGTCTACATGGCGAGGTATTTTAAGGGGGGTCATTGTAAGATTGTTGTGGCGTGCAAAGGATTCATCAATAAAAGCATATCCTGATGCTCCGGTATCAATAAGGGCGTAGGTAGGTATAAACGAATTTTTATTCTGTGAAATCGAACAAGTTACTACAAGTTGATTTCCATCCATTTCCTCCTCTGATACCGAAAAACCAGAAATACACATCTTAAAAAAATCCTTAAACGGTCCCTGGGCTAAGCCACTTAGTGCAGGGACAAATCTTTTGCCGACTCATTATCGCTTCCATCGTTTTCTTCCACTGTCAACGCCGCTCCTCTCATCACAGGCCTCCTTGGTTGATTTCCAGTTGCCCTCGCTTGGGGGCAGTTTCTAACCATATGCCCGACACCTCCGCAATAGAAACATCGGCCCTCAGCTAATCGGGCGTTTCTTTCGGCAGGGGTAGGGCGACGACGTCCTCCAGACAGGTCCATGGGTACATCACCTCCAGGACGGAACGAGGGGTGATTCTCAGTGGCAGGTGGGTTGGCAGCAGGGGCAGCAGGACGGGGAGCAGGAACAGGATTTGTTGGTGGAGGACGCAGAGCCGGGGTCGCAGTAGTAGTCCAAGGTTTTTTACTACCTCGCTTAGCTTCCGCCGCCCGTCGTCGGTTATCCAACCGTTGCAAGAGTGTTGCACAACCATCTACCGTTGCAGGAGTCTCATGGTGTATCATTGATTCGTCCAGTTCCCCATTAATTCCTTCCATCAAAGCCTCAATCCGAGAGACTTCATCCATACCCGACTCAGCAGCATACCGTTGAAACTCAGCAAAATAATCGGCAAAGGTTCGAGTGCGTTGTCTGATGTTCCGAAGATTTCTTCTAGCTGTCCGCATTCGATCGGGGTCTCCAAAAGCTGTATCCAGAATCTCATAAAACCGTGTCATAGAAGGTAGGGCAATACCTTCTTCTCCCATGTACTGTAAAAACTGATTGGCAGCAGCACCTTCCAATCTGCTGAACGCGTACGATAACTTAGACTGTAGTGTAGGATAGCGATCGATATTTCCCAGTAACTTAATTTTCATTTGTTGCTTGAATAAGTGTAGTCTTTCTCGATCACGATCCCCCCTAAACACATCGGGATCTGGGAGTTTCTCCGACCGATAGGTGGTACCTGTAACTGGTGGCGCTGGAGGTACAGGTGGAGCGTTGTTTCCAATAGGTTCTTCGTCAGGGGCCACAACCTCAACAGCAGTTTGTTGAGCTCGGGCAGCAGTAAGATCTCGTTCAAATATCCTTCTTGCCCTCTCAGCCTCCGCTTCTATCTCCTGTAAATCCGTTGCATATTGTAACGGCAGCTAGACGGATTGGCTATGTGAGTTGTCTGGGTACAAGGGAGAAGGATTATGCAGTGTGGTTGGGTTTAGTGAAGTGGGTTTCTATTATGTTCTATTTGTTTCTGTTACGCGAGGGTATGAGTCAGCATTGGGATAGGGTATGGATATATAAGGGGGGCGTTGTCTCGTGATTTCTTGTTTCTCTTTCTTTCTCTTTTCTCTTTATGCAACCTCTGTACTTTACAGTCACGAATACTATTTGGTTCGCGCTACGTCATAGGGTTTACCCGGTATACTAGACCAGGTACAACCATCCATAGTCCATAGTCCACAGTCTCCGTTCTTGCCTTAGGTGTACCCTTCGGCCCCATAGTCCATAGTCCACGAACTTCCTACGTCCACGTCTTCGCCTCGGTTGTATTCCTTGGCTTCATAGTCCCTACGCCCATAGTCCCCGTTAGACTTAGGTTGCATCCTCTACAGCCAACCAATACAACACCGCCTCGCTTAGCTCTGGTCGCGACCATGTCCGACATCACTCAAGATACGTTGTTGCAGCGTCTTTCAGAATTTTTGACCATATATGGTCCTCTCCCAGCGGATATAGACTTCGGTGATGAACTTACCGAGGCCCATAATCTCATTGCTGAATGTTTGGAGGCTTTCACCAAGCCTTCCGAAATCCCCGAACCCGTTATCAACACGGCTCAAGAAGAGGTCATTATCGATCTCACCAAGGAACTCGAAGCAGCTGACGAAAAGGCTGCCGATCTATTGCAAACCTTGTCCGAATGCCAGGAAGACTTTACCGAGACTATCCAGGGCCGCGATGAAGTTATCGTTGCTCTCAAGGGCGAGCTCGAAGAATCAAAGGCCGAAGAAGAAGAACTTCGGTATCGTCTCGCCCTACACCAGGAAAGTCTCGCCATTGCCGACGAGAACCTCGCCGATGCTGAAGACGAAATTCTTCACATCATCTCTGCTGCAAAAGCCTGGGAAGCCCAAGCCAATGCCACTATTGCCGGTCTTCGTTCTCGTATCTCCGTCTCTGCCGCTACAGTTAAACCTCGCCATGTCTCCAAGTCTCGCTATCTGTCCCCTCGCTCTCAGGATCCCCGTACCATTAGTAATTGGCGAGAAAGGCCAATTGAAAATGTGTCCCCAAAGCCGGCGCTAAAAGGTCAGCCCCTTTGGTAAAAAATGGCAAACCAAAGGGGCCAGCCCCGCCATCTGTTTCTGTTCTCCCTGCTGCTGCTGTGTCTGAGGATAAGATGTCCGAAGACTCTCTTGTTGTTACCTGTTCGGTCTCTCAGAATTCCGACTCCTTCATTCCCACCTACGCTCTCATTGATACTGGAGCATCAGGATATGCTTTTATCGATGAATCTTTCGTACGTTACAATAATCTTGCAATGACCCCTCTTAGGAAACCTCGCCAGGTAGATGTTATGGATGGAAGACCTATCCAGTCAGGAGAAATTACCCACATTGTCGATGTTTCACTAGATATTCATGGCCACCGAGAAATTGCTTCATGTTTCGTTACAAAGTTGGGACATTATCCGATCGTGATGGGAATACCGTGGATGCGACGGCACGATGTCACCATTCGGCCAAAGGATAATCTACTTGTTTTTGATTCTCGGGACTGTATTAAATACTGTTCACTCAATGAAACTGCAGTCACTGTCCATGGAATATCGATCCCTCTACCAGAACATCATACTATTGTCGTTTCAGCAGTTGAGAAATCCACCGTCAACGTCAAGCAACTAGTACCAAAGGAGTTCCACCATCGTCTCCACATGTTCCAAGAATATGATGCTTCTGTCCTGCCGCCACATCGACAGTCCCATGATATTGAGATCGTATTGGAGGAAGGTAAACGACCTCCATATGGACCAATATACGGCCTGTCCCAGATTGAATTAAAAGCGCTACGGGAATACCTCGATGAAAATCTACCAAAGGGATTTATCAGAGCTAGTGAATCACCGGCAGGAGCACCTATACTATTCGTAAAGAAAAGTGATGGGACTCTCCGGCTATGTGTGGATTACCGAGGTCTCAATGCGATCACAGTCAAAAATCGGTACCCGTTACCACTGTTAAAGGAAACTTTGGCTAAACTTTCGAAGGCACAGTACTATACCAAGTTGGATCTACGTTGGGGATACAATCAGATCAGGGTAGCGGAGGGAGACGAATGGAAAACGGCATTTAGAACTCGATATGGACATTTCGAGTATACAGTAATGCCGTTTGGATTAGCCAACGCCCCCGCCACCTTTCAACATTGGATTAATGATATTCTACGCCCCTACCTCGACCAATTTGTAACGGCGTATTTGGACGATATCCTGATTTATTCCGAAACTCTACCGGAACACAAGGAACACATTCAAAAGGTTTTGAAGGTACTTGATGAGAATCATGTCCATCTTAAACCTGAGAAGTGTGAGTTTATGGTTCAAGAAACAAAGTATCTTGGTTTGATTCTCACCCCGGATGGGAATCGAATGGATCCGAAGAAAGTTGTCGATGTTTTGGAGTGGTCTACACCAAGGAACCTTCATGATGTTCAAGTATTTTTGGGATTTGCGAATTTCTATCGACGGTTTATTTTAGGATATTCAAGGATTGTTGCTCCGCTTACGGCTTTGACCAAGAAAAATATTAAATTTGAATGGACGGATGAGAGGGAGGAGGCATTCCAGATATTGAAGAAGATGTTCATAACGGCACCCATACTAATGCATTTTGATCCGGATCGGAAAATCGTGGTAGAAACCGATGCATCCGACTATGTTTCTGCTGGAATCCTGTCCCAACGTGACAACGAAGGAATTCTACATCCAGTCGCTTTCTTCTCTAAGAAACATTCCCCTGCGGAATGTAACTATGAGATCTATGACAAAGAACTCCTGGCGATCGTACGATGTTTTGAGGAATGGCGACATCATTTAGAGGGGGCACAATTCCCAATTGAAGTTCTGAGCGACCATCGGAACCTTGAATATTTCATGTCAACAAAGTTATTAAACCGTCGACAAGCCCGTTGGTCGGAATTTCTTTCACGTTTCGATTTCGTCATTCAATTTAGACCAGGAAAACAAGGGGCGAAACCAGATGCATTGACTAGGAGGTCGCGTGACCTGCCTAAAGAAGGGGATGAGCGGTTGACCCATCAGAGTCAAGTGGTGTTGAAGCGAAAAAATTTAGATGCAAAGCTAAGTTTGTTCGCGGGTTCTTTTTCAAATGAATCCGCTGAAGGAATGTCCACTGTAGAAGAGTTGTTTTTAAATGCTTACCAAGTTGACAGTTTCCCGAACAAAGTACTCGCGATGCTTCGGAACGGCGTCCGTCACTCGAATAAGATCTCGCTTGCCGAATGTACGGAAGATAATAACGGTCGGCTACTTTACCGTGGCGCACTCTATGTACCGGATGTCGACGACCTTCGGCTAAGACTCCTAAAGGAACATCATGACAAACCATCGGCAGGCCATCCAGGTAGAGCGAAGACTTTGGAACTCCTGAATCGAGAGTACTACTGGCCACAGATGCGAAAATATGTCGACCAGTACGTTAGGAATTGCAGTGTGTGTGCCCGGAGCAAGGCACCACGCAATGCACCTTATGGGGTACTTCGACCTATGCCAATACCCGATGGACCATGGACAGATGTGTCAATGGATTTTGTTACCGACCTCCCAGAGAGCGATGGATACAATGCAATCTTGGTCGTGGTGGATAGGTTAACTAAGATGCGACACCTAATACCAACAACAAAGGAGGCGGATTCAAGGGAAGTAGCGAGACTGTATATTGACAATGTTTGGAAATTACATGGGTTACCCGACACTATGGTATCCGATCGAGGGACACAATTCGTTGCGGAATTCTGGAGGTCTCTTTGCGACCGTCTGGAAATATCACCAAAGTTTTCTACTGCGTTCCACCCTCAGACGGATGGGCAGACGGAAAGGATTAATGCCGTGATGGAACAGTACCTTCGGAGTTATGTTTCCTATCAACAAGATGACTGGACTCGATGGTTACCAATGGCTGAATTTGCGACCAACAATCACACTTCAGAAACAACAAAGATATCTCCTTTCTTTGCCAATTCAGGACGAAATCCAAGAATGACGTTCGGTCCTTTGGAACATGGTAGGACGACAGCAGAGGATCAGGCTAATGGTATCGCACGAGAGATGAAGGAGGTATTAGATTTTCTACGAGATGAGTTGTTCCGAGCGCAAAGGATTCAAGAAGAGTCGGCCAATACCAGTCGGGCTCCCGCTCCTCACTATCGTGTGGGAGATAAGGTTTTCCTATCCACCCGCCATGTCCTTACCAAACGACCCTCGAAGAAACTCGATTGGAAGCGTATTGGGCCATATGTTATTAAACGAATTGTCAATCCCTATGCCTATGAATTAGAACTTCCTCGTTCTATGAAGGTCCACCCTGTATTTCATGTTTCGTTACTGTCGCCGGAAGCCATTGATCCCCTACCAGGACAACAACAGTTACCACCACCACCGGTCGAAGTTGAAGGACAGGAGGAGTGGGAAGTCGAGAATATTTTGGATTCCAGGGATCGTCGAGGAAGATTTGAATACTTGGTTAAGTATGCCGGTTATGACGAAGCTTCGTGGCAGCCATTGTCGGATGTCGAACACTCGCCTGATATTGTCAAACGATTTCACGAACGATATCCACGGAAGCCTAAGCCTACCAGGAGGTAGGCCGTAGAGGGGGGAGTGGTCTGTAACGGCAGCTAGACGGATTGGCTATGTGAGTTGTCTGGGTACAAGGGAGAAGGATTATGCAGTGTGGTTGGGTTTAGTGAAGTGGGTTTCTATTATGTTCTATTTGTTTCTGTTACGCGAGGGTATGAGTCAGCATTGGGATAGGGTATGGATATATAAGGGGGGCGTTGTCTCGTGATTTCTTGTTTCTCTTTCTTTCTCTTTTCTCTTTATGCAACCTCTGTACTTTACAGTCACGAATACTATTTGGTTCGCGCTACGTCATAGGGTTTACCCGGTATACTAGACCAGGTACAACCATCCATAGTCCATAGTCCACAGTCTCCGTTCTTGCCTTAGGTGTACCCTTCGGCCCCATAGTCCATAGTCCACGAACTTCCTACGTCCACGTCTTCGCCTCGGTTGTATTCCTTGGCTTCATAGTCCCTACGCCCATAGTCCCCGTTAGACATATTGAATAAGACCATTTTGACACTGTTGAAGAAGCGCATAAGCTTCAGCTCCGACAACATGATCGACCTGTGGATGCGCTTCAAAAAATCTTTGGAGGTTATCGTTGAGTTGTTGATAATCGACATGGGCATGTTCCGACATTGTAGGCTATGGTGTTGTATTGGTTGGCGATAGAGGACGCAACCTACGTATCACGGGGACTATAGGCGATAGACTGTGGTGCCAAGGAATACAACCTAGGTAGTGACGTAGACGTGGACGTAGACGTAAAGGTATACTTTGACTATGGACTATGGGTGGCTCTACCTGGTATGATAAACCGGTTGGAGCCCTATGACGTAGTGCGAACAAAGAATAGTATTCGTGGAATAAAATACAGAGGTTGCGTAAAGAAGAAAGAGAAGAAGGAAAACAGACAAAAGCACAAGACAACGCCCCCTTATATATCCATCCATAATCCAACGATGACTAATACCTTCGCGTAACAGAAACCCAAAGAACATAACAGAAATCCCCATTACAAATCCTAATTCCACTGCACGATACCTCCTTCCCTCATCTCAGTTCATCACCTAGCCGAAATACGTAGCTGCCGTTACACCGCTGGGAGACAATTCTGCTTGCAGTAGTCACTCCTCCAGCTCATGGTATTGAGTTCCCAGTTAATGTCCGGGTTATGCTTCCTAGCCCAACTAATTGGCAGGTAACCGGTCATTCCTTCCTCCAAAGTAGCCACTTCCCATCGGAGTGTCTCTTTATGATCTCCCATAGTCATGCGGACCGGGTGAGTGTAATACTCGCCTCCTCCCATCATGACATCTCCTTGAGCATCAAACATTGTCAGAGGTTGATCCCGCCGCACTAAGGGAATTCCATGCTTCCTGACAAAACTCTGGTTGAGGATTGCTCCTGTACAACCGGTGTCAAACAGGAATGACCCTTGGGCGCCTTCATCCTTTCCTTTGACTGTCCATGACAGTCCTGCCTTCAGTATAGGTCTTTTTCCATGTACTGGTAAGGAAGGAAGCCTCTGTTCCAACCTTCTTTGCTTAACAGCGGATTCTGGACTCGTTTCTCTTTGTCTTTTCAGCATAGCTAATAGCTTCGGGCACTACTAAGATCAAGGATCCTTTGGTTCTATTCCCAAGCGGTAATATAGCGGGTATGATATGTGGTAATTTTTGATAGCGGTTTGGAAGTGTCTTGTAGCAAATGTAACTTTGGTAGAGCACTGACAGACCAGCTGTTTCGGGTCTTAAACCCATCCTCAGAGTGCTTGGAGCAATCAAATAGGCGGAAACACAATCATAATTTATTCAAGAGAAACATAGAAACCAAAAAAAAACCCATATAAAAGAAAACTAGTAAACATAGACCCAAACAGACATTTTTCTACCAGAGGATTTCATTGTCCGAGTCTTGCTCAGGCTGCAAAACAAAATCTTCTGTAACCTCCGGGAGTACAACAAGTGGATCCTCTGCTACTACAGCAGCCACTTTAGCCTTCTTCTGAGAGTTGGACTTGCCATTCCCTCTTTTCCGCTTCTGTACTCTCACTGCTGCCACTCGGACAACAGTAGGTTCCTTGGACCAACAATCAGTCCATTTGTGTCTGGACTTGCCGCACTATTGCACAAGTCAGTCTATGCACTCTACCAATAGGGAGTACCGGAAGGTCATACCTTCAAGCATACTTCTGCTTTCCTTCTTTCTTCTAGAATATCCCCCGGGATACCCTTCAGTTCCACCGCTTTGTCCTTAGGTCCAGGAGTCTTCTGAGGTCCGGAGGAGCTCGCAGCTTCTCTTTTCCTCTTAGGCTGCTGGTCCTTCTGAGCGGGAGGATCTTTCTTGGTCCGAGGGTGCGCCTTCTCAGCTGCCATCCCTTGGTACCTCTCATGGGTGTGCCCTAACTCTCTTAGAGCAGCTATCCGCTCCATCAAGGACTTTGGCTTGGGATTAAAAAGAGCCCAACTCATGCCTAGGTCCGGGAGGAGGGAATTATGAATTTTATCATCCACCAACTGACCCTCATAGCCAGTCTTCCACATCAGCTGAATAATAGTATTCAGGAAGAGGTCTATTCCTCCTCGAGCTGTATGGGTGAGGGTATTCCATTGGGCTACAGCATCATCTCTAGAGATGGCTTCACCGAAGGCAGCTCTAAAAGCATCCACAAAGGAATCCCAGCGCTTCCATCTCTGATCCAACTGCACCGGCATCCCAGCAAGGCGGTTGGCGGAGGCTTGATCAATTGAATTATGGTATGCCTCATACCATCGGATCGCTGCCTCACCTTCCATCAAGTTGCCTGCATATCGAATCTTAACCTCCTCAGAGGTAAAGGATAGGCTCTCAATGGAGAAGACATTCTCACATTGCCGGATAAAGGTCTCCACTTGCTCCGCCTTGCCCTGGAACTTGGAAGGTGGTGGTGCCTTTGGTTCTCGAGCCCTGGTGGAAGTAGAAGGGGGAGAGGTGGCCGGAGGTCGGTACTGCTGGGACATCATAGCCAACAGATCCTTCTGCTGCCTTTCCAACTTCTTCTTAAAATATCTCCGCCAAGCTCTTCTATCACCACCTTCTGGTTCCGAGTCTGAACTGTCTGAATCTCCAGGAGCAGGAGCTTGGGCCGCGGGAGGTGGAGGGTTCTGATTCCCACCACTTCCTCCCTGTGCCTGAGCTGGAGGGGGAGCGGCGGCCGCAGCAGGAGGGGCCACAGGTGCTACTGGTGCCGGGTTGCTGGCCAGTGGTGAGGTTGCTGCTGGTTGAGCAGCCCCAGACATGGTAAACCTTCCTGGGTTCCTGGCTAGCGGACTAGGAGGTCCTCGGCCTGCACCTAAGAAGAACTCTCCTTCATAGTCAAAGGATCGGTCGGCTCCTCCAAGGAGTGGATGTGTTCCACCGAAGCGGCTAGGTGGTAAGGGTGAAGCCCCCACCGCTGGCTGCACAATAGGGATAACTCTCCTGGTGGATCGGACCGGAAATGCTGCAAAGGGGCTGGTCTTCCGCTGCATTGTTCTGGTAGCTGCCCTGGACGAGGACCTAGAGCCTTGATTTGGTGCCGGAGTTGCTGGCCTAGCCACCACCAGTCTTCCTTCATCAAGGGCTCTCTGTATCTCGGCCACAAAGTCCGGTGGAGTAGCCGGGTTTGTCCACTCAATCTCCATGGCATCGGCATTCAGCTCATCTTTCTCCACATACTTCCGGAGTTCTTCCTGAACAGAGTTAACCTCCATTCTCATGTATTCAAGAGCTTCCGCCATTAGAGCATTCTGTGCTGCCTGGCGCTCTTGTACAAGGAGTAGGGCCTGACTGCCCCGGGTCAACTGATTCTGCAGGCTGTGCTGGAGGTAGGTCTGGAGCTCTGTGAAGAACTGTTGGACGGAAATCTCGTCGGTATCCTGCCAGGCAGGCTCACAACCAGGAATGTAGGTCTGTAGAGCGGTCCTGGGTTTCTTGACAAGCTGTGTCTGCCCGGCGGCATCAAGCTGGAGGGGCAACGGCTGCCATTCAATCTGAAGGGGTGCATCTGGAGCCGAGAGGGCGGACATTTTGTGTAGAGGAAGAATAATCTGAAGGTGACTTGAGCCTTAAAGATTATCTGTAACGGGGGTCCTTTCTAAGAGAAATAGATTTGTATAGAATAGAGACGGCCGTGCAAGATAGACAATCAGGTTGCAGATTATTCAAAGATACTATCGCTAGAACTCAATAATCTTTAAGGGCTCTGCTACCGATAAGAACTTGGTTTTTCTTCTGATGAAGACTGGAGAGAACATGGACTGAAGGGCGAGAATGAACCTGAGTACTTATACTCCGAAGGCCTCTATTCTCTGCTCCTGACTCCTTTACTAAGTTCCGGTGGGCCTTCCCTCAGTACCGGAAACAATACCTCTGCTACCCCGCTTTTCTCTAAGCGTCAGCAGGTGTTTCCGATACCCAAGGCAACCACCCTTAGTCAAAGCCTTTGTAACACCTGCAGCCTTGGTTGCCGCACAACCGAGGACCTGCATGAATGAGCTGCCGCTCAGGTGTAAGCTTAATCATTGCTGTAGAGCTTTCGCTTATTGTAGACTTCCCTAGCATAGTCCCTGCCCTTCGGCGGACTTACAATGCTCCGAGGATTATAGTGGATCACCGGACAATCAGAGCTTCACTCTGGCCGGACTTCTAGACACTGGCGAGGCATAGACTCGTCAGTCATTGCTCCCATGAATAGATCCCCTTCCTAGCGCCCGGAATGTAGTTACTCTAACAGCTGGTAGCTAACCACACTGCCGGTACTTGCATATCACCGTGCAACTGGCTTCTAACAATAACTCTCAGCATGTAACCGGGCCCTGTGTGTACTCATACACCAGACAGTTGAAATGGCTCCGTTACAGTTGGCATCGTCAACAAACAATGGCGAGACTTACTCAACTTTCAGAGAGTGAACGGAACGCTGTCAAACCTCAAGTCCGGCCGGGCCCAAAGCCAAAGTTAATCAAGGACCGAGTCCTCAAACCTGACGGAATTCGAGCAGTCCGCAGTCAACGTTCTTGGAGCCAGCAACAAAAGATACGGGCTTTGGTATTCCTTTATCATCATCGTATTCCGTTAGCCAGCGGAAAACTGCGAGCACCTACACAGGCAGAAGCATCACTCCTATTTGGTGTTCCCCAACGTACCCTTAGTGATTGGGTCAAGAAGCAAGATAGGATTGAATTGGTAGCGAGATCCAGTCCTTTACGCTCTCTACCCTCAACTGCTAGCAAGATATGCAAGTGGCCTGAGCTCGAAAGGCGTTTGTATTGTCTGTTTTTAGAATGCCGGGAAAATGGTCAAGCAATTCGTCGTGGGTGGTTTCGATTACATTCGGATGAAATTTTCCGAGATTTATTCCCTTCAGCTACCACTCCAATCTCTGTCGGTACTCAGGGCTCCATCAATCCCCCAACATCACTCTTTCGGTTCTCCAATGGGTGGTTTTCTCGATTTCTTGGCCGATACAGAATCAGTCTTCGGTGCATAACCAAAACAGCACAGAAGATTCCTGAAGATTATAATAATCTAATTATTAGCTGGCTACAGTTCAATAGACGGAATTCTCAGTTTGACCCATACGCATTCCATTTACAACGCACAAATATCGGTGATGGTTTTACGAGACGGCAGAACCGGTACGATCTTTCAAACATCTGCAACTTAGATGAGACCCCTATACCATTTGAATACCTCTCCGGAAGGACATACAATTCAATAGGGGACAAAACGGTATGGGTCAAAGAGACAAGAAGCGGTTGGGATAAAAGACAGGCCAGCTTGGTACTCTGTATCTTTGCAGACGGAGTTAATAGAATACCACCGATGATTATCTTCCATGGTCAAGGTAAAAACCTCGGTAAAGAAGCTACCAAATATCACCCTGGTGTTCTAGTTGAATTTAATCCTACTGCGTATATGACCGAGTTACTTTTTATCAAATATATCGAGATGTACTTGATTCCTGCTTTGAATGGAAAACCTTCCCTCTTTGCTATGGATCTTTGCACCTCTCACAAAACACCCACCGTACTGGCACTTCTTCGTTCAAATCAAATTACACCAAGCTTAATTCCAGCTGGCTGTACTAGTTTAGTACAGCCCCTTGATGTGTCAATCAACAAACCGCTTAAAGAATATGTACGATCATTGACAGAAGATGCGATAAGAGACTGTGAAAATGTCAGCAGTTTCGAGAAATGGTCCGTCAGTGATAGGTGAATAATCTTACATCCTTTTTTTTGTTTAATTGATTAATTGAGTGATAGGCGAGTCTTAACTACATGGAGTGTTGGAGACGCCTGGTATCTCTTTGCAGTTGAAAAGGGTGAATTAATTAGAAGTGTTTTTCGAAAAGTAGGTCTTTCTCTTGCTGCAGATAGCAGTCAAGACGATCAGTTGGACATAAAAGGCTTCAAAAGTATTGAGATTGGTGACTGGAAACTACCTGTATTACAATCCGCAACCCCTATTGAAGAATTCGCAGATGTAGATAAAGAGCACGATGAGAACGAGTCTATAGAGTTTGTAGCTTACGGAGAATAACTATAATATATGCACCTACCTGCATATGCGCCGAGCCCTTCTCTGCTTGGTCCGGACTTACCATTCACCTCTACGGATATAGTGGATTGCTCGAAAATTGACGGTACACAAAACCAATACGCAAAGTACCTTACCTAGGGGGTACATATATCAGAGCATACATACCTCCTCCGCAGGCAAAACAGCAATACCTTACCTACTGTAGGTACTATTGAGGATATGCCAATACACCCAGCACCAGAAACCTCGATAGCCCGTCCCTGGGTGAAAGGGAAGAATACAAACCCAGGAAGGAGCCCCAGTCAACAAGGTGTCTCATGTTTACACCCGTGATTGGTTGGGTGCACGGTTGTTTCGTTTTGTGCGACGTCCTGCGCCGCTCAGCATCATCATAGGGACGATCCCAACGACCAGTCACCAGTCATCTGCAGCTGAATGCTATCTAGATATCACAATCACAGCCACAGTTCAAATTAAATCTCTGGATCTTCCGCTTCATTTCTCGAATACTTACCTACTCTGGCACATTATTGCGGTGGTTTCTTATCCAACTCTTTAAGATGAGCACCAGTTGCAGAGTTTTCCCCAACAACCTGAAACAACACTTGAAACAGCCGCCGCCGCCACTACACGGGTATTGTTTTTCCATAACGGATAATTATTATGTAGCCCTATCGTAATGGCGCTAGCAGTATAACCAGAGGCTAGGCGCGTGTCACAACTGGTGGCCAGTCTGGGTCACAGGAATAGAAAGCGTGGGTTAGCTTCTTTCCTGCCTCATATTCGTCTTGGGGTCGAGTCAGATAAGCATACAATATTGTATTGTATATCACGAGAACACCAATACGCCTCACGTTACAGTAATTGTAGGTATTTCTACCACTGTTTACGCGTTACAACCGCAGCTGACTACTGGACGTCAGCAAGAAATCGATTAAGAAGTCTACTAATAGATCCCCTGGGCTCACGAGGGATTTCAGCCTTTCAAATGACTGCATCATTTTCCCCAGACTCCGAAAAATCTCTTTCCTTATTCGTGAGGGCTGTCGTTATAATACCAGAATTGGGATGGCAATCACCAGAAACTATCAGGATCCCATTCTCCAATCGGCATCTTGCTCGGGAACTCTGGGGGGGATTCTGTCAAACCCAGTCAAGTTTATTCCAATAAAAAGCTTTTTATGACATGCTTGGCAACGATTTGCCAAGATTTCACGCATTCGGCTCCACAGAATCAATGACGGCCAACTGCGCCAAAATCTGCGTCGCGGGAATACCGCATTCTGGCAGTGTTTTGTAGGAATCACATTTCATTCTTTGGTACTGCTATTATGTACCTACCCCTTTGAGCTGTGATTGTTCACGAAAAGTGGCCGTACCGACTGTTTCCCCGTGAGCTCCTTGGACCTATGATAAGTTGATTATTAAAGTTTTAACAATCAAGAATTTTGACTAGCCATAAACAATGTATCTACATGTAGTAGTACAAGTAACATTTTATCAGTGTTTTTCCAAGCAGATTCTTTCTGTGAAAAGTAAAGATGTAAGGAAATTTACCTTCAGGATCTAATAAGTTGATCGGTATCAGTATCGGTGAAGAAAGACTGCGGCCGCATCAGTGGATTTATATCAACGGAGCTCCCGGCGATGGTTTTCTGCGTGGGGCTGGGGTAAATAGGCTTTCTTGGCACCCCACATTTCGCAAACCATTCAGCCGAGCCCGAGCAATGCCGACAAATGCTTGTTAGCGTCCCGCGACCTGTTCTTCCCCGTCTTAAACCCGAGCAACTTCTTTCGTTTTTAAATCCACTTAACTTACTCTCGTTTCCCCAGATTTTCCCCAGATTTTCTTTCTTTGCAGGGACTTTCCTCTCTCTGACCTCTAGCTTCTCAATTGCAAAAATGCACGCCAAATTGACCGGCCAGGACGTGGCAAAGCACAACAACAAGGACTCTTGCTGGGTTATCGTACACGGAAAAGCCTACGATGTCACAGAATTCCTACCAGAGCACCCCGGTGGCTCAAAGATCATTCTGAAGTATGCCGGAAAGGATGCGACAGAAGAATTTGACCCTATCCACCCCCCAGACACTCTTGACAAGGTGAGCTCTTCACAACCCCCAAGGTCCTCATGAAATGGGTAAACTAACACCAGGTCCAGTACCTCGACAAATCCAAGCACGTAGGACCAGTCGACATGTCCACCGTCGAAGCTGAAGTCAAAGCCGAAGACCCCGAAGAAGCCGCCCGCCAGGAACGTATCGCGAACATGCCCATCCTTGAGCAATGCTACAACCTCCTCGACTTTGAAGCTGTCGCAAAGCATGTCATGAAGCGCACCGCGTGGGCTTACTACTCTTCCGGTGCCGACGACGAAATCACAATGCGGGAAAACCACTCAGCGTTCCACAAGATATGGTTCCGCCCGAGAATCCTGATTGATGTGGAACATGTGGACACTAGCACAACAATGTTGGGCGATAAGTGTTCAATTCCGTTCTATGTTACTGCAACGGCATTAGGAAAGCTTGGAAACCCTGAGGGTGAGGTGGTATTGACCAGGGCGGCGCATAAGCATGATGTCATTCAAATGATCCCTACACTTGCGTCCTGCTCTTTCGATGAGATTGTGGACGCAAAGAAGGGAGATCAGATCCAATGGCTCCAGCTCTACGTCAACAAGAACCGCGACGTCACTCGCCGCATAGTAGAGCACGCCGAAAAGCGCGGGTGCAAAGGACTTTTCATAACCGTTGACGCACCACAACTTGGACGACGTGAGAAGGATATGCGCTCTAAGTTCGAAGATGTTGGCACCAACGTACAAAAGGTTGAAAACGATAATGTCGACCGCTCTCAGGGTGCCGCACGTGCGATCTCCTCCTTCATTGACCCCTCCCTCTCATGGAAAGACGTCGCCTACTTTCAATCCATCACCAAGATGCCAATTGTCCTCAAGGGTGTGCAGCGCGTCGAAGATGTCATCTTAGCTGTCGAGCATGGCTGTGCTGGTGTAGTCCTCTCTAACCATGGTGGCAGACAGCTCGATACTGCACCATCGGGAATTGAAGTCCTTGCAGAGGTCATGCCCGAGCTCCGGAAGAGGGGCATGGAGAACAAAATTGAGATTTACATCGACGGTGGTATCAGGCGTGCGACTGATATCATCAAGGCGCTTTGCTTGGGTGCCAAGGGTGTGGGTATTGGCAGGCCGTTCTTGTATGCGATGAGTGCGTACGGTGAGGCTGGTGTCAATAGGGCCATGCAGTTGTTGAAGGTAATTCCCCCTTCTGTGTATTTGTCTTTGTTTATGTAGAAGCTAACATTGAATAGGATGAATTTGTGATGAATATGCGTTTGATCGGCGCTAACAAGGTCGAGGACTTGAACCCATCTATGGTTGACACGAGAGGGCTGTTTACGCACACCGTCTCAACTGCCTCAGATACATTATCAAGCTCAGCATACGATGTTCTGTGTGCGCCGTCGTTCAAGGAGAAGGCAAAGTTGTGAGAATCTGTGGCGAGTGATAAATGATGATGCAACGATAGGACTTGGTGAGGATAGGTTGATACCAGTGTTAGAACCCTAGATTCGGTTTTGTTTTTTCTTTAATTTTTCTTTGGATTATTTTCTGGTGCTTGATAAGCGGCATTGTTTGTTTAGGGTGCAAGGGTTATTTGAAACAAAATTTACACTTTTTCGTACTCGTGTTTTGAGGGCAATTATGCGCTTATGCTATAATGTGACGATTATTCATGCATCAAAGGGTACTTTTCTTGTGGCCAATCATTTCTCTACACACATCTTGGGTTTTGTGAGTTTTTTTTGCTAAAACTTATCGGGTTTAGGGTCCTTTTCTTTTTGATGCTTATACAGGTACGTTTACATCATTTTTGTGATCATAATCTAGCTTCCCTTGAGTGGAATAATAAAAAATCCCCTTATATCACGAAACTTAAACAAAAGGAATCCCAAAATAAAGCCTTGGTTAGATCTGCTAGTACCGGCTTAGGCAGACCAATCGCCAACAGCCTCGTCGATACTCTTCCGGTACGCCTGCTGTGCTTTTGCCATCTCGAGGAAGACCTGCGGAAATGATTAGAGGAGAACAATTTACAGGGGCGCATAGATAGCGCAATTACTCACCTTATATTTAGCATCCAAAAGCTTCTTCTCCTTCTCGTTTGTGGTAGGCTCAATGATGGTTCCCGGCTTGCTCATCTTATCCATGATCGTCCACAGGTTCGCAGTGTTTCCTTGAGCGTCCACGCTGGCAGCCTTAGCACCGAGCATGGCAGCACCGAGAACAACTGCCGCATCAATGTATCTTGGGATAGATACAGGGTAACCAGTTGCATCAGCAATAAGGTGCATCAGGAGTTTGTTCTTGCATTGTCCACCACTCATGAAGATACTAGTAATAGAATGACCACTGTTGTTCAGTGCTTCAATGATATGCCTAGTCTGCTGAGCAATGAACTCCATAGCAGTGAAGTACTGCAGCGCTAAATCATCGACGCTGGAATCCATACTCAACCCAACAATGGAACCACGCATCTCAGGATCAGCGATGGGCGAACGGTTACCGTGCTTATCACCGTAAAAGAAGAGATGACGGGCAACATAGGCGATTGTGGGCGCATTTTGGGCTTTGCGCATGTCCTCGAGGTGGGAGTTGAGGTAGTCGAAAATGTTTGTGCCAGCAATTTTAGCCTCTTCGAGGGCTTTGGCATGGGAGGCGTGAGTGGTGAGGACGTTGTGGAGGAGACTGCCGGTGGAGGACTGGCCGCCTTCAGCCATCCAAAAACCGGGGAGAAGAACGTCGCGGTAGGGCCCCCTAGATGGTTTTCTTTTGGTTAATTACCGGGTCTTAAGCGATGTGGCTTTAGGTTTATGGCTTACCATACTCCAGGCACAAATACAGGATCTCTGGACATAACCAAATGACATGTGCTTGTACCAGCTACCGCTGCTAGACGCTTGAAACATTGTTCGATATCACTCTTTGCGTGGTCTTGGTCCAGCAAGTCCTCGCTCATCTTAACCTTTGCTCCAACTGTTCCGATCCATCCTGCGTATGCATCGATGACACCACTACCAATCTTAGTTCCAGCTTTGAGGCCAAGTTCTTTTGCAGCGCTCTCACTCAATTCTCCCACCAGCTCTCCGGCGGATAGCATTGTGCCATTCTGTAAAATAGATCATGTTAGAAATTGTAAGCTTAAGGGTCCGATGCGCTCTGTACCTGTCCATGTACACCACCCATCCTTCTAAAGTTATCTTCGCAAAGCTCTGGCAACCCGATGGCATTCAAAAAATCGTCTTGCCAACCCTTGACACTTCCATCAATACCAACAGGGACAAAGCCTTGCTTACACACGGCACTGCAGAAAGATCTAGTCTCCTTCCCAGTTGCAAGATGTGTCAGAACATCTGCCAGATCGTAGAACTTGCACCTCTCAAAGAGCTCCTTAGGCATATTATTTTTCAGCCAGAGAACCTTCGGGATTTCCATCTCGATTGACATTGAGCCTCCAACATATTGGAGGAGATTGTGTTTCGTGGCATTTATTTTTGCGGTTTCTTTGACGGGACGCTATAATAGATTTCTCAAATATTAGATGTGGTCTACGATAACGATCGATGAGGTCACTGCTCTTCTTACATGGTCCATCCATACTAGACAACAACATTCGTTAGTCATGGTCCAATCTATAAAAGGAATATCGTAACATACAAATAACATTCCTCGCCGTCTCTGTGAAATCCGGGCCAGCCACAGAAATTGGCTCGTTCGTGTCCTCAGACATGACAGCCAACGAGCAGGTGGCATCGAATCCAATCCCCTTCACCAATTCCGGGTCTACGCCTAATTTCTGGAGGACAAGACGACTACAGTAGCAGATTGCGAACCAGATATCTGCTGTCGATTGTTCCTGTGAACTCTTTAGCATTGGAAATTCTTGGGGCAGCTAGCATACTCACATAGTAATTTGCTCTCGGGTTCCATGTCTGAATCTCTTTCGACTCAACGCCCTTGATTTCACCAGTACTATCAATAATACAAACCCGAGCACTGCCGGTTCCGACGTCGACACCGAGGAAGTAGCTTTCTGAAGCCATTGTTGATAGTTATATAAGATAGGTGATGCTTTTTGATATGGAAGAGCTTGGCCAGTAACGTTTATATACTCCTACAGATGTGTCGAGAAGTGGAGATGAGGGGTTTGATAAAAAAAAAATAAGGAATTGATGGCGGATACATAGTATATCACGAGGGCCTACTTGAGTAGCCTGGTAAACGTGTTGAGCATAAAACATGTACACGGAGCTCATGAACTGGGCTGGCTAGAGCGGGGTGAAAATGCACTGCAGCTCTAATGGATAAATTCAGAGGATCATCCGCCATCCCGACCACACGGAGTTTATTTCGCATGTGTACTAATCTGAAGGTACCTTTCTGCTCTGAGTATCAGAAATACAACCGATCCGGGAGTAACAGAGATGCCTTCAGATGAGGAAAAAAATAACTGCGGGGAATCTGCGATTTTCTTATATGTGTCGCATAGATCTTTGCTGTATTGTACGGGTTGCCGGTTCAAGAATGTCTTTGGATCAGAAAATCATATTCGTTGCCTGAATCTTGGCTTTTCACTGGTATCGCCTTGTTTTTTCAACTAGTTCTGGTGATCGAACATATAATTATATCAAGGTACGACTGTACAAGCAATTGATTGCCCATGATGATGGTGATGGAAGAATACCTAGAACAAGTGTGGCCCGTGTGGGGGACATTAACGCGATCCCGGTGAAAGGCCCGGCAGTATGCAAAGAACCTCCATCACCGCCCATCAGCCCCACCAAGGTTGCAGGGATCAATATCAAGTAAGCCCGCGCCCACTCATCTATCACTCGATTCCTTTTCCTTTTACATGTGGGAAAGCCTTAAGCCAGTCCATCCCTTTCCCCTACAGAAACATTCATGCCTACCGACGCCAGCCAACACACCGACGTGAAAGAAATGTTGAAAGAAGAAATATCACGGCATGAATTATCTTCTGAAAATTCTGCAAAAAGGGGGTGTATTTGATAGGGCTGGGGCGACTTAATGTGATATCATAAATTTTGAAACGGCCAACACACTACATACGGCGTATGTATGGAAGGAAATCAGAACTTCCATCTCATCTCATCTGATCCAGTTGATTTCAGGTCACATCTGATGGACAAAGTGTAAATATTTATTTTAAGCCTGAGGCTTTGTCTGGTATTTGTAGGCGGGCCTGTTTTCTAACCCACTCACTAGCTAATATAAACCACAATACGAACAGTCTTGTGTACCAGATTATTCACGCGATATAAACGCTAGAATATAAAAAGAAAGAACAATCGAAGAAAATCACACCCCCAGAACACAAAGCGAAAGTAAAAAATCTGAGCAAGCCCCTTCTAACACCGTAAAGAAAAACCCTCATAAGAAAAATAAGAACAGGCGGAGACTCCCTGAGTTCCCCCTCCTTCCATTTCCTCGCATAATTTTTTTTTTTTGGATGAACCCACATCCACCCACTCCCAAACAAAGAAAAGGCATTAGAAGCACGAGATGCGTTAAAAAAAGGAAAGGAACAAAGGAAAAGATTAAACTAAACCCTATGACCCAAATATTCGCCGACAGAATCAAACAAACCCCCCACAACCTGGACTTCCAGGACGCCTTGAAATGTTCCATGTTGCAGACCGTTTCACGGGTCCGTAATCAATCTCATCACATTGCCTATCCAAATCCAAACTTTCCACTAGTCTCCGAAGTTCACTGGCCGGATTCCCGCCCAACAAACCAGACCCCCCATCATTTCCGCCTGACAACGAACCAAACTTACCAAACAGCTTACTCGACTCCGATTGCAGTCGCTCGTCCGTCGCTACCAATAGGAGCGCGCAGGCCGGGTTGCAGGTCAGAAGTCGTCGCCAAAGCTGCTTGGTCGGTTTGGTCGTAATCAACCAAAGAATCAAGGGAGAAAAGCGTGCTAGTTGAGTATCCGGAATCTTGGTCCCCCGTTTGAGACTCAAGAAAAGTTGTAGAAAAGGCATCTGAATCGAATAGATCGTCGATGTCATTGTTGCCAACAGTAGGTACTGCATCATCCAAATAGTCAAAAGTTCCGGGGAAGGACGCGAAGCTCTCTGCAGACACGGCAGGTCACACAACAAAACAGCAGTTTGTTGTGTCTCGTAGAGAGCTTCAACGTTGATATCCAACGCCGGGGATGATGCATTACTTGCTTCATTAGAGAAAAGGGTATTTGGATCAAGAGTGTTGTCGACAAAGGACATTCTGGAGGGAACGTCATCAGAGCCGACAGGTGATGGGATGTCAGTTGGGACTGGAACACCAGACTGTGAGAAATTGACCTTGTCGGCGATCTGTCTGGCAACGTTCATGGTGTCTTGGAACATTTTGACTTGTTGCTCAAGGTTGGAAAGACGTTGGGCAAGCTCGATGTTCTCTCTTTCGGTGAGAGTCAACTTGCTCTTGAGCTCGTTGTTGTCAACCTCAAGAGCAGCCTTGGCCTTTTCGAGTGCCTCGTACTCTAACCGTTTTCGTTCCCGAGAGGTTTGTGCTGCTTGGCGGTTTCTAATAACACGCTCAATCCTACGCTGCTCCTTTTCAGGTTCAGTCTTGGCACGTTTGCTATATGAGGTTAGCTATATGATTTTTTTTTTAAAAAAATATCTAAAAAGGGATTACACATACCGAGGAGGAAGGTTGGTTGTTGGTGTAGGAAGAACTTGGCCCCATGACTTTCGTTTCTTGACTGGCTTCTTTTCACCATCTTTCGGGGCTTCACCTGGGCCAGGAGTTGGGGAGAGACTGTTTCCAGGGCTTTCCGAATAGCTGGGAGTAGGAGAATCCCCACAAGGGGTTCCGATGTAGAGATCACTCGGAGCTGTCGAGGCTGGAGTGATTGGGCCGGTCATCAACATACCGAGACTACCGAAATCATCGAAGTCGAGGGGTTCGTCCTTTGTAACGGTGGGAGAATCGATAGAAGCCTCCATTGGAGAGAAAGAATCGATAAATTGTGAAGGCATGACGTAATGAAGAAAGGGGGGGGTATTCAACAGACAATGAAGCTGATGATGATGGGGATGGCGATGAGAGAATGATGAGATGCAGTGTGTATGCAAGATCAATCTAGACGTGATTGTGATGGAATTTGTTGGTAATAAGTGTAATGTGTGGAAGTGGTAGTGGATAGCTCCTTCTTTCCCACTGCAGACTGGTGCAGGACGGGAAGATGAAGTGTGTAAACAACGTTGAGGACAGATAAACACAAACGAAATAGTGAGTGTAAAACGTGACTCGAGGAGTCAGAATAGGAAGAGTCAGAGAAGAGTCACAGAAACAGTTCCCTAATGAAGACCGCTGGCTAACGAACAGCGTCACCTTGAATAGGCCACTTCATCGAGAACTCAGCTGGAGCGCAGAGACTGGTGTGTTGGGGAGAGAGAAAGGAAACCAGGGACGCTGAGGACAGCGTGGTCTCTTTATGTGTGAAGTCTTGAGCTGACCTCCCTTCCTCATCCTCACAGGACCACGCTTTGACACAACGGGATAGGATCGTCGCCATACAAAGGGATCCTGCTCTTTGGGCAGTTCCCCTTCCCACATGGGAAGTTCCCCAGCCCCGTTCGAAACTGGACTGGAGGGATTACAACCCTGTGCATCCTGGTTTCGGTGCGGCACAAGTCCCACGCCGTTCGCCGGCTGGACTCTCCGACTAAATAAAGTGTTCGCAACACAACAGGCTCATCCAACTCCCGGGTTTTCTTCAGAGCGAGCCAGGGCCGACATGCCTAGGAATTCACTTTATTCTACACACCTTCTTTCCCGTCATGCCGTTGGACGACAATGGAATTCTCTCCCACCTTCATCGCTCTAGCTACAGTAGGCACTCTAACAAGCATTATGTTGATCCCTGATCTCTCTGCGAGTCTGAGAGAGAATGTAAAGTAGAGTAGAGTACCTCCTCTACCCAGAGTGCCTACATGTACCTAGAGCATGTGCAGATATGTGCATATGAGAAATCTTTTTCCCAATTTTTCGCTGCACAGTGCACACAGTGAACCTTCTCTGATGTGGCACGCATGGCACGCATAACGCACTGTTACTGGATGTTCGTAAGCACTCCCCTGAATCAGTCCGTTCGCGCTGTCTAGCTGGGATTTCTTACGCAAGTTCAAACATTCTATTCGCCTTCAGCCTAATGCGTTCTAGAATACCCCCGAATATATTTAGATTGCAATAATGTTTCGATTCGCTTCCGGTTTTCCTTTTTGTTTCACTGCCATCTTCTAAGCCCTTTAGCATGCTTACTTGCTTGCTCCTCGGCAGCTGTAATTATGCAACCGTCATGGTGTGTTACGTTTACCAAAAGATACATTCTCCATCATTGACTTGTCGATGTTTATTTAGACGACCACCACCACCCGAGCTTCTCTCCCCCGCACAAACCCCACGGGCTTCGTGCACACACATTTTCCCACAGTCAAAGACACTAGAGCACCTTCTCGAGGTTTCTAACACAAGCTAATGTCTGTTCTACATAACCTCACCGCAGAAATGCCCCACAATCCACAATGATACCAATGCTCCCCTCAAGACACTAGTTCTGCACCTCTGAGCTGGGTGTGCATGGTACATTATCTCGTTCCTGAAAAGGCAACAATAACAACGACAATATTTAGAATCTCGAATCTTTTGCTATCCTGGCCAGCCACTATCACCCAACATCACTCGAGTTTCTCACAAGAAACCAAGATCACCAATGAGGACCGCCAATAAGGGCAGTAACAGGCCCGAACCCGAACCCCTCGCATCGGAACTAGTTTCCATGAGGGGTTCAACATCCACTGGCTATCGGGTGTTCATATCAGTTATCTGATTACATCGGCTTCCTTGGAGCATTTGAATATCCATATTGCTCTCTTCCATCTGTTCCGATTTGGCGCCAGGTTCAGTTACCGCAGCGCTCCATCGGTCGGTATTCCGGGAGCTGCAGTAAAATTCTCAGCTTTCCAGCTCCAGTTACAATCACATGTGGATTGTGTTCGTGAAACTGGTGAGAAGCTCTACCCGATTTCTCAGAAGCAGTGTCTATCAGTTTTAGCAGCCGGCAGCGTGATTTCGGGACTATGTGAGTTTTTTTGGCGCAAGTTTCAGAATTCTGGGGTAACAGCTGTCATGGTTTCAACCGGCCCCATCGTTAGAAAGACGAAAATTTTGATGGAAAAGCTTCCAGAGAAGGTGCTTAGTTACCGCATGTACGTGTCACCAATCGGGAGAGATGGTGGCCAACATAACCGCTAGAAAATAGGAATTTTCTTCGGGCCTGTCTGGTCCACAAAGCACCCATACCCGACTACAACAACCACCATCAATAATCGTTTTCTTCAAAACAATCAATGTGCGGGGCAGATCAGTGGCAACGGAAACGGAAATCTCGGTACACAATGATACCATAGATCATGCAGTGGTAGCGGTTAATCAATGCAGCCCCAGTGCGCACTGAAACAATCGACGTCAACACTCCACATACTCTGGGGGATTTAAAGTATGTCGTCTGCAATATGCGAATGTGAGGATGTACCCCCTGCATCAGCCTTTACACTTGACAGCAACGCCAGCGTTTTGAAAATTCTTACTATGCTGCATCGACAAGAAAATTCTGCGCGAACAATAATTTTCGTGATGTCATTTAGCTTTCGACAGATACAACTCTAGATGTCCTCAGAAGAGGACCTACTATCGGAGAAACGTAACTCAGCGTTCGATTTTGGGGTGCTTTGAAAGCTGTACGAAGGTCTCAGCAGAGTGTCTTTACCTACACTACGAGTCTAGAGGCCCCGAGTACGTACTTGCAGGCTGCATGGGAGCTAGAGTACCTACTCCACATAGGCTTTCAGCCTTCCTACTCTACCCAGCTCGCTCAGTTAGAGTAATCCTCCATACTTTAGCTCCAAAAGAAGCTGCAGTTATGTCTAGCAGAAAGATTAAATCCGCGGCTGTTTACTTATTATCCCGCATATCTGGTTGGTCGAATATGCGAGTAACGATCGGGGCCGCTTATGATTATGAGATGGCCCACAGCAGAAAAATATTACCCTATGGAGTCAGATACTCAAGATTAAAGTCTTTTTTCTTTCTAGAACCCAAAACCATCAGGGGTAACTGGAGCATATTCATGAGCATGTTAAAATTGGCGAATTAAAGGAGATTCTCTGCAGCTCTAGAGACTGTGTTAGGTGCTAAATCGAAGTGCTCGAGAATGCTAGTTGAAGGGCTCGGAAGATCATGGAGTGCATATGCACAACTTACTGTTCACGGTCAATTACATCTGCATAGGGTCGTGTCTTAAATTACGGAATACGCCCACGCCTATTCTGGAAAGGTCAACTAACGCGAGATGCTGGATCATAGGAGTGCTCTAGAGTACATAGGTACAGGGCTATCCGACAGGGCGAGATACCGATCGGATTATCAGTGTGATCGTGATAAGGGCGGGGTTGTGGTAACAGAACGCATGGCGGGGTATCCGTAAGGAAGGTGGAAGCCAAAAGAGATTGAAGTGGGGGATCAGCACCAACGAAGATAGAGAATCCTCGCGACGATTAGTTGGGTTTATGGCGGAAGTCTTTTCCAGAGCTTAAGCGGTCGATCGGTAAATGTTCGTTTGGTCTTATTTACTCAATGGAGGTTAAGCGTTAGCGCCTAGGCCTATTCCCAGATCCAAATTATGTCGGTATCTACATGTATATAACTACAGACGCCATTAGGATGATATCATTAATCCCATGATAGCTCCGCCCTTTAAATTCTAGATTTTACGCTGATGACCTATATGTACTTAAATCTCGTATCAATTTGTGCACTTATTTTAGTGTTTTATATCTATGACTTTGGAGAATGTTGCATGCATGACACGCAAGTTTCATTCACGTATTGTCACTCGAATTTTACTCAACTTCGCCTGAAACCCATAGCCAGCTAAAACGTACATATCTTTACCCAGCCAACATTTCCTAACCACATAACACATCAGGAAGATATCGATGTGGACAACGAAAGATGCAAAGTAAAGATGCAATTTAGCTTTATTTAAAGCCCACTGGTTTAATATAACCCACGGGATACGCCCTTAAACGACCCTCGGAAAACTTAAGGTCTAACGTTGATCAACCTGCATTATTCATCATCATCCCTTTCACCCCATGCAATGATGACCGCCCTCCTATCGCTAGGGAGCAAAAGAGAAAGAGAAAGCGGATATGTTATGTAGCAGGCTGCTGGTGCGCAGGAAATACCTACACTCAGTGTAGAGAGCCTAGTCAGAACTATATCTCCCACCTATCCAAAACCTCTAAATCCGATAGTGCCTTCACGAATAAGCGAAATAGATGATCATGGGGTGGTAGGGCCAAGCGGTTTAGAACAATTAGCTCAAAAGAAAGCAATATATTTGACTTGGTGGGTTAGGTTTCGAAATAGGGCTATGGGTCATGTGCATTAGACGCCCAGAAAAAGGGCTAGGTTGGAGCTTCGCTCAAAGATTAAGAATTGAAGCCAGTCTTTCAGCTGGAACATCATCGCGGCTGTTTAATTTCTCGTCTTCAATGCCTGACCTTCTCTTCCAGTCTTTCTAAGCATGTCGTTGCTGATAATTCAGATGTCTCAATATGACAAAATTATCAAACTGTAACCTTGGTTTTTCCAAATTTCACCCACCTCTGGCATGAGCCTCTTTAGGATTTTCTCATTTACCACATAGTTAGCATCTAGCCCTCTCTGTCGTACAGCTGATAAGTAAGATGTGTTCCTCGTCCTCAAATGTCATCTAGCTAACATGCTCTCAATTGTATCCCTCATTTATCTGGGGGCTTGCTTTCCACCCCAATTACAAAAGCCTCGATATTAACCAGACATTACAAACAAGATTAGCTGGAACCAAGTTTATTGACCTACCTGCCAGTATTGTATTATATTGGCCTAGCTCCTACGCTTTGTGGGAACGTTTTTCGGCAAAGATCCGGAATTCCACCGGATTTATTGCATTTTATCCGGAATTCCAGAGCCTCCTCCTGTCACACGTGCCACAGCGACAAACATGAGGTGTATGCAGGTTTCTTCTCTGGCCCGGGTTTCCTGGTACGGTGCTGCTAGTACGTCGAGGGCTCACTAGAGTAGAGGTTTTTGGTTACCCTGTGGATGAGGATGTATCAATCACGACATGTCACCCAGAGATTTTAATTCCAAGTAATGGAGTGACTTCAAGCTTAAGCCAAAGAGCCAGTATTTACCAATCTCATCAGAAACCATCGCCACGGTCATTATGGAGTACCAATAAGAGGCCAGCACAGTCGAAGAGGGATCCGGATCTCTGATAGATTAATTTTCTGGGGTTTCACTGTTCCCCGTACGTGCGCAACCGATGACCCCAAGGTACCTGCAAGAATTTAGATTACCCTTTGAACCATTTTTCCTCATGTTACTGTGGGGAATAAACACCGGAGCATAAAGTCAAAAAGCTGGGGGAGATGACCAGGCGCGGCCGGGTCTTCAATTTTTCCATTTTTCCGGAGAGGACGCTAGGGCCGGTGCCCGGGCAAGATCCCCGGTTAATCCGAAGGTTGTTTTGAAACACACCTTCCACAACTCTATATGCCACGTGCATGTCACTTCACCTCAATAAATACATAACGAACGAAACCTCCGATATGTTGTCTCTGAAAGGTTGCTGTTAATTTCCGATTCTCGAGTAGCATTTCATTTGGCTCCGATTCCGATCAGAGCGAGTGGCAAATTGATTCTTACCACCGAGACATCCTTCACTGATCCTTCTTCCCAGGGTTCTTCCTGGAGTCCGGCTGTGGAGGCACCTTCCCGGGTGCATCTCTGGACCCGATTCCGAAGGACCCCACACGCGTTGTGCCTTTCCTCCCCACAAATCTCATCAACGCTATGCCCCACACCCACACCACCCCGCACAAAAAAATATCCTAGCGACATGCCGAAAATTATTGGTCTGAGAAAGATCACAATTACCATCGGAGCGGAAACAAAGTTCACCGAATGTTGGTTATACAAGTCGGGTGTGTACATATGTACACATAAATTTAGACGATAAATCCGATGACAGTGTCTAGGAGTCTATTTGTACAATTGTTTCCCATTATTAGCACTTTATCTTTATTTGTTAGTCGACCTTGGCAACGCAAGGGACGACGAGAAATATCTCTGGCACAGTAAATGTATCTGTGCATGCAAGTGCGGAACTACTATTCGGATGTATACCTAGTAGCCGATTGCTTGTGGATTTTCCGAGTCACAAAAGACAAAAAGTTGGAGGCTAGAGACATATTTATACTCACCGCACATTGGTGATCAGGAAAATAACCAACTATTATTCCGATCTCTGGGCATATCCTCGGCAATCCCGGCTACCAGAGAAGCTTTGCTTCCCAGAATATTGAATACCCCTCTCTATCATCGTGAGGAAAATGACGAAGAGTTGGACAAGTTCCAATTGCGGAGGTGACAGGCTATTTGTCTCAATTATGGGCATGATGGGATCCCAGAACAGCCAACATCCCAGTATCATGACCCCTGACGGCCTTAAATCCTCCAATCGGTATGCCTGGGCGATCGCGTAGTGAAGCTCGTACCGTATCGCATTCCCCCGAGGTTATGAGACGTACCCCCACATCGAGTTTTTAAGATCCCAGGCTTTGGGGGGGGGGGGGGGGGGGAGGAGGATTCTTGAGGCGTAGATGATTGTGGTGGTAGTACATAGTGGTTTGTGGTGGTGGTGTTGGTAGGAAAGTTTTCTCTTTATGTAGAGTAGCGGAAGGATTTGTACCGGCAATCAGGGCTGAATTTGATTGACCAACGGGGGATAGAGTAGAGAGTACGTACTCTGCTGCTCCACAGACATACAGGACATTAATCTATGGCATCATAATGTTCTTGTTTGGCGATCAAGAGTAGAAACGATTGTTCAAAAACACACACGCAGGGCGAGAGATACGTACCACCAGCCAGAGTTGTTTCCATTCCACACTCCCACTCTCCACACCAAATCAGCCAAACAAAGCGTTATTTGCCTGATATCCAAACAAAACAACACAGCCAAGAGAAAACTGCGGCAGTGAGAGTCAGTAAGTACACGGAGTCTGTAAGTAAGTAGCCTTGAATAATAAATCGTCGTTCACCTCCACAATTTGCCCCCCCTCCCCCCTGTTAGCTTATCCGCAGTCTGCGGTCGAGCCTCAGCTGCCCCCCTCAAAAAAAGTACAAAATACTGTAGCCCCCCTCTCCCCTCTACTGATTCCTTTTAATTTTTTTCCGCTGCTCGGGGCCCCCGCATCATTCGCTGTGTTCATCCTCATTCTGCTGCTGCTGCTGCTGCGAGATGGAGACTCCTGCGAGATCTAGCCGCGCGCATCGTCTCAACCGGGGTCCGCTATATTTTCAGCCATGGTCGTTGCCTGCAGTCGCTATTGTCCTCGTCGTGGTCACGATGTTGTCTGGGAGGGCTGTGGGAGAATTGATACAAACGGGGGACAATGGGGACCTGATAAACCGCAGTGGGCTTGTTATGTCCACCACGGACGGAACACGGACATACTCAGTCCCAATAAACCAACTGCCACTAGATGCCAATCACGATCAAGCTAATACAAGGGTACGTTACAAGCATTATCCGTTCTGCATGGGAGAGTGAGGGAGAGAGTTAAACTGTACTTTATCTGTATATCTTATCTGGTTATTTGTTTCGTCTGGGTGGGGGATGCTGGCTATGAAAACATGAATATGGAGATATGAACATGTTACTAATTTGGCCAATCCCAGAAAGTGAAGAACTTTGTCAACAACCTAGTCCTGTACACTTCCGATACGGACCGGGAATTCTCCACTGGCAACTTGGCATTCATATCCTGCGACTCCTCCAACGGAAATAATGCCTCCGCTGCCTTCCTCAAAGCAATCTCCCAGAAACCCCAACCATACTGCGTGATATTCTACACCGTCGAGCACGACTATTGCGACTACAATCCACAGCAAGACTACAATTACGACCTCGTATTTACAACCCTCGACAGAGAATCTGCAAACGACTTCCAGCTCCTCATGAATACCACCGGCGATAAGCTCGATGTCACGATAAACTATGACAGCAGCGTCGAAGATCAGCCAACCCAACAGGACCGAAACAGCTTGTCTTCCAACCAGAATAACAGCGTTCTGGGACCCTCGCCGTCTACAAGCGTGGCGTTGATAATCCTCTACAGCATCACCGGAGTTATCACTGCGTTGTTCCTGCTTATCATCCTGATCGGTGCAATCCGGGCCCACAGGCATCCGGAACGTTACGGCCCGCGAGCGCCCCGGTTTGGCCGCCCCCGCCAGTCACGAGCCAAAGGCCTTGCAAGAGCAGTCTTGGACACCCTGCCGATCGTCCGTTTCGGAGACCCGCCAGCTCCGGAAGGTGCCAATGATGGGATTGTCAAACCAACTGACCTGGAGATGGCACCTGACTCAATCACATCCAGGACATCCGAAGATGATCGTAGAAGGTCTGTCGTGCCTTCGGTAGCATCACAGTCCACCCCGAGTGTAAGTGGAATTGCGCCGGTTTCTGGTGAGGATGCTGCTGCGAGGGAGGGTGCCGAGCCGGCGGTGATGTCAACGTCAGAGATGGATCCGTCGCAGCTGAGGTGCCCGGTTTGTATGGAAGACTTTGAGTCTGGAGTGGATCTGCGTGTCCTGCCGTGCCATCACAGTTTCCACCCAGATTGTATTGACCCATGGCTACTTAACGTTGCTGGTTCCTGTCCATTATGGTATGTATAAACATCACTATCATGCCTCTCTAAAAGTTTTGTAACTAACATCTCGGAACAGCCGTATCGACCTCCGCCCTGAAGACCAGCGTCAATCCATCGAAGTAACCCCTCCACCAGCCCCAGAACCAGTTCAGAGTGGCAGCCGCATAATGCGCTATCTCGATATCGCACGCGGCAGCTCTTCAAGTGACGAACGCATGGCCGCCTTGAGGCAGCTGCGAGAAGAGAACGGCACCAGACCGCCAAGGAGCCGCGCGCCAGAGTTGGGGATCAGTAGACTGAGAAGGGTCTTTAACCGGCGCATGAGCGGGAGTAGAGCGGGCTCGTCGGTTACGGTTAATGAGCCTGCGCCTCCGGCGGCTGAAGTGGCGGGTGCGGAGACGGCACGGGGGGGTGTGGGGTTGACGACGATTAATAGTGCTGATGTGGAGAGACCTGCTCCTGCAGTCCTTAGCGACAACAGTCAGCGTTAAGACAATAGCGTGATCAGCAATCGATTAAAAAAAGCTCGGGTTTCAGTATTACTATTTTATTCCTATCTTATTCTCACGTAAGCAGCGGGTTTGGACTTCTTTTAGCTTGGGAAATGTATATATAGCTTTTTTTTTTGTTCCTCTGGCATTTTTCTCATTCTTTCTTTGCATTGGTTACACTTATTTATTTTTGGAAGTGAAAAGGACGGATGGGATGGTTCGATGGCTTGATGGCTTGGGTTCTGGGTTTTTTTGTCATTCCTTTGGCGTGTGGATTTTTTTTCCGTCTTTTTTTATTGCTGTTGGAGGTGTCTGGTCTGGCTGGCTGGCGGATTGCATATTTGCATATGAGCATACTTAGCATGTGGCTTGATTGGGTTGGGTCTAGTTGTATAGATGAGGACGTGGAATAGCGGAAATGCATAGAATCAAATTGGGAGGCACATGTATGTAGCTTGTATTTGAGCTTTGGTTCGGGATATCTACACTTGTGCGCATCCCGCGACGCAGTATCGGATCTTCGGCGAAAAGTGTATCCGTGGTGATGGTGAGGCATATTACCCGTAATGTCTCCGCTTGGGGTTGAGTGATATCCCATGACCTTATAACTTTAAGTATTGCTTGTTGATAGTTGGGGTATTTGTCTATATTTTTTTTTTTATTCATCTTCTGATCAGCCGTTCTTTGAAATTGCATCTTTGCAATTCCGGAACCACTTGCTGAACGAGTCATCATTACCATCGTTCGCAAGGGTTGCCAGCTCTGCCAACTCAATGGCTTTCTTCTCGAACTCTTTTTGCGCCTCAGCCTGTCAATAATCCCAATCAGTAACTTCCATAATGGAGAAGAAAGAGGAGTCCGCACAGCCTCATCTGCATCGTCCTCATAGTATCCCATGCCGATATCGTCTCCCGAGTTTGCCACACTCTTTGCCAATTCCGCGATCTTATCCAATCGCTGGGCATCCTGTAGCTTTCCCTCGCCTGCCAATCTTCGCTTTACCACCGCGCCGAGGAGAATAGTGGCCAACTTCATCTTCTTTAACGATGCGTCCACTTTCTCCCTAGCCTCAGTGTCGTCCTTCGAGAGGGCCTTCTTTGGCGCATCCCAGAACGCATCCTCGTCCTCGGCTTCACCCTCCGCCTCATCATCTTCGTCCTCGTCGTTACTCTCAAGCCACTCCTTGAGTTCCGCCATAGCATCTTTCAGCATCGCCATATGCGACTCAACTACATCCTGGACCACCCCGGCAAGCCCCTTCGCCCTCAGCGCGACCAGCCCATCTGCAGCCTGCCACACCACACCCGTGCTCGCTAGCCGATCTCTCGCCCCCGCGCTCTTGCCCACTCGGCAGATCTCGGGGATCTCTTTCGCAAACTCCTCCAGCGCCGCCAGGGTGTTGTCAGCGGCCCTGAGCACAGCAGCATACAGAGTGCTTCCGTGCTGCTTGGGCGACATTAGCTCCACTGTGGCCAGCAGCGGGGGCACAACGAACTGCATGATGTCCTGGACGCAGCGCGCAGCGGCATCGTAGATGATGTTAGGTGGCCGAATCGCGATGGAGAGCTTGGTGGTGTGGGCGCGCGTGAGGGCGCCGATGTCGTGGAGGATGTCGAGTGGGTTGTCGGTGGAGGGCTTGGAGGCTGGGGCTATGCCGCCGCTGGAGAGGAGGCTGCGGCTGTGTGATATTAGTGTTAGAAGCGAGAGCGTGGATGCTTCTAGGGATTTTGTGGGCGTAGTCATTTTGGGCTGTGCGAGGGCGTGGTTGCGGGAGTGGTTGTTGTGGTGGTGGGGGTTAATGGTGGGGTAAATGATTAAAGATTTGACAGTTTGGGGTGTTCCGGGTAACCAGGATTAAAGTGCCCGATTTGTACCATTGGGGTAGTGAGTGCTCCTGGAAGTATCTACTTGGCTATCTGAGTATATCTTGGTCCAATGCTAGATCAATAGCTGCTATAGATGCATGTAGATTCATCCCTTTGGAGGGATCGTTTAGCCTTCTTTAAACGGTATAAACCCAAAATAAAAAAAACCGGTAATGACGATCATTGACACATATTCTGGGGGACAACTCTACAGCCGTCCCATGATAAAGTAAAGTAGAAGTTACCTATTTACTTTGATAGACTTATTTCATGGAGTAGCGATGGATAGCCTCTTTGAGCTATCTGATATTCAGTAAAGTAGTCACCGAGCTTGCCATCCATGGACATAACACCGACGGCTTGGTATAAACCACTCATTAGAGGCACTAGTAGAGTGCTGATAGGAGACGAAGATTTGTCCAACAGTCTGCTAGATGAAAAGCTTGGTATAGTGATCAACCAGGCCTGAACAATCTCAAAATGTCCCGTCCCGGGGGTGTATCTGGCGGAAACATCTGGGATTTGAGGCTTTCGGAGCCCTTTCTTTTGTCCAAAGATAAATGGAGATTATCTAGTAGTAGCATTAAAGGTCGAATAAACTCCAGATGTCTCTCGGACATCCATAGCCATTAGTGAATATATGTAGTCTCACATGCCACATATGCAGGGCCACTAGGTATCTGGAGATGTGAAGATAGAGCTATAGTACGCCCCGCCGGGGGTCTGGTCTGAAACACTCCTCGCTCGTGAAAAGAACTCGAAATCCTGTGATTAGTAGTAAATGTAGGTTGTTCCCGCTAAGATGTAAAACCTGCGGAGGCTTCGGTCTTCGGACTTGTGGCCGGGTAATGAATGGGTTGGGGGGACTGGCTCAATTGCGATGTACCCCGGGTACATGAATTCAACCACAACTGAAGTTCCCTTTCTAGTGCAGCGTCTTACCCCCCTCATCTCCCCGCTTGCATACACGCCCAAAGTCCTGAGTCTTGAGAGCGGCACCGCCGAGATCTTTGAGCCTAAAACAAGACGGGTTTTGCCCAAGTTTCATCTCGTTTCATCTAGATCTACCCGTTATCGGATCAGATGCCGGTAAATATGATCGCAATTAAACTTTAAACAACCCTACATTCGCCAAGGGTGGGGGGTATCACGTCACAGATCCGACTTCCTCCAGGAATCTATATGTCCGACTGCTCTGGGGGGCCACAGTTTATGTTATGATAGCCAGTCAAAGAAAATGGACAGCATAAAGCAGGGGAGCGGATAACAGTAATGTGTAGATAGCTCGTACCCGGCCTAATATCAAGTTACTAGCTATTTAATTCGGCGTACGCATAAGTACGAGGTTGTAAAGAGCGCCGTTTCCCAGAAGACCCCCAGCTATATATATGCGTGGTACTTTTGGCTTTATATTTACTAGTCAACAAGCTCTAGTACGTTGGTTAGGGTAATAATGAGGGGAAACATCAGCTGCAGGCTCCGGGAAATGATAGGATTACAACTTAAAACAAACACGTACAACAAACTCTCAACATATTAATCCACCTTCTACAACTCTCTACGTCAACCCCGCCATCCACAAACAGACGTATTAATCTAACAAGTCGCACCGCTACATATATATGCTCAAACCACCAGAGCAGCATCCACACTATTAACGCCGGCCTCCCTGTCCTCCGGAGCCCAAGCTCTCAAATTCGATAACCCATACGCCCTCCCACCACATCCATAGACATTCATTGGATCACTACAACCAGCAGACTCGTAGCCTATTACTCTGCCAGGGCTGGGCGAGGCGTGGGTTATGTATCTGATTGGTGCGCAATGGGGTTTTATAGGCCTTATGGTAGGATTTTGTGGGACGCTACTGTTCTCGTGTCGTCGTTCGGCGGCGCGTTTGTAAAGGTCTCGGGGAATTGAGTAGAAGCCGACTCCGGGATTTTGGTTACGCTCGGGGGTTTTCTTGACCGGGAACATGTTGAGGGGTGGTATTCGTGTTTATTTTGGGACAAAGTAGGAAGTGGGATATCTACTAAATTATCTAGGACAGTTAAACAGCTGTCTTTATAAAACCGTCCTTCTGAAGCTCTAAAATGTTCATTTTCAAGATGCACATTCTATTTCAGGTGGTGTGGCACGGCACGCGAGTGATAAGTTATGCAGCAAACCGTCAACATGCGCGACCAAGTTTGATCGTAGGAAGCCAATACATGTATGTAGTTCCTTGTTCCTTGTTATAGCTTTAAGACGGATGATATATTGCTGCATCAGTATCTTCGTAAACAAACTAAACTTTGATGTGTGTATTTACAGCCAACAAATGCTACGCGCCGGTATATGTAAATGTCATTCCCAAGGAGCAATGCAAATTAAACAAAAGAAACTCCCTTACACCCCCAACTACACCGATATTTTCTAAACATTTTCTGCCTGTAAGCTAAGTGCTTACTTCTTCCCAGAGGTTGCGCTATTGAATCCTGATGAAAGTGCCCACATAAAAACAACTTGGACAATATAGCTGTACAAGAACAAGAATTGGGTGCGACGGTTCTTCTGGGTTCGATTGACAGCATACATAGTGCCTCGGGGATTGTCCGCTGTGTTATCCGGAAGTAAAACATATTTCAAGCTCCGTAACTGTTTCAAGTTAGAAATTATACCACAGGATGAACCAATAAAAGACAACTGGCACATACTAAGAAGAATGCATTCGCGTTGAAAGTATAAGCAAATACCAAATATTCTAACCATCGGGACCCGATAGTTGTCATAGCCAGCGTGACGATAATCCCCACGAACTTATATCCAGAATACGCCACGAGATCCATCAATTGACTGTCATTATTGATGCTCAAAAGATAACATCCGATCTTAATAATACCGATCTCAAGGATCACAATAGTAAATGCAAAGGATGCAGTGTAACCGAGCTGTTCGGGGTTAAAATTGCCGGCAAGACCGTAAAGGAGAGTTGATAGAAGGATGTAAGTGACAAACGCCATAACTGCATGCCACCAAGCTGGGTAAGCTATGAACAACGCCACTTGGGTAAACGCGATGTACCTGGAATATACATGTCGGGCGAATTGATATCATCTCTCGGTGGAAGGAAATAAGTATCAACCTGGCCATTTGCCCCAGCTCTTTGAGACCCACTGCGAGACCATGGCTTATGTCGCCATGGGAAAAGTACAAGGTATAGTTTCCGGAGCACGTAACTGTTGGAGACGTTGAAATAATGTTTTAATGCACCTACTTGTAAATATTTCCCAAACTAGAGGATAATCCACTTAGAAATCTGCAGGCGTCCTCCCATTGGCTAGAACCCGAGGCGGGGGAACCTACGTTTTGCTCCACATAAGCACCAGCAGCTTCAGTAGCTCTTCCTCCGACCTGAAAAGCCATCGCGGCCCTGGGGTCACTAAAGAAATCGCCATACGCAGGATGCATGCCCTGGCTCGGCTGTTGATTTCCCATTGTGTTCTGCATTGGTTGTTGGGCGTACGGCGAGCTGTACGCCGTAGCGGTATGTGGAGGTGGTGGAGAATGCATCACTGGAATAGGTACATGGTGCTGGGGAACGGGATGGTGAAGAGGAGGTGATGCGCCGGATGCTGGAAGATAACCGGAGCGCTGCATTGCGAAGTCTTATGGACGCTGGGGTGTGGATATTGATGATGACAGATCTACTTTATCGTGGGAGCAGGTTGAACGGGGCGCTGAACCGGCTTTGGACTGGGGTTAATCCGGTTGTTTCTGGGAATCTGGCCTGGATGATGCCACATGCAGGAACAGGTGAAACAGCCGGGTAACTGGGAATGTTTATCCAGACACATTGAGCTGCCTGTTTGGTTTAGTGTATGCAGCTGTTGAAGCTTTTTTTGATGCCTATTTTATAGACAAATTTGAAGGCGAATTGCCAAAGGTGAACGGAAAGTCCCTTAGACAAAGGGACCTGCCTGATATCGAATTTTTTGTATTCAGAACTGGGTGTAACCGGAAACCTCTAGCTATGAAACAACCAACCCTCTAAATTATACCATATATACAGAAAGAAAAAAACAGAGGAAAAGCAGGAAAAGGTCCCCTCACAATATCTCAACTATCTTATCATCGTCTTCATCTTCCTCGTCACCTTCGGCCGTCTGCACGAAACCACCCTCATCATCATTGGCCTCATCTCTCATCAGGACTTGGACAAGTCTGTCACATGCATCCTGAACATCATCGTCGTCAACCGCCATATGGCACTCCTTGATTACTGTATAGACGTTGACCTTTCTCATGTATTCTCGTGCTGGTCTTGTGGTGGTGAGAATCAAAAGTGTTTCAAGGTGTGTAACAATGATTGACATGTCAGTGTCACGCTTCTTGTCCGGAGGAAGCATCTGAAGATCAGCCGGCATTTCCAGCATTTCCTATCATCAAAAGCTCTGATCAGCATCTCTTTCTCAATAATTAGCATTGTTAAAGAGATAACTTACATCTTCAGGGAACTCTTCAGGTCCGCATAGTGGTAGTAAGATATACGGCAAAAGGTTCACCTCGTCCTCACTCAAGAAAGCAGTGTGTGAAGGTATATCGAAGCACGAGTTCCTTAACACATCATGTTAGCATTTATATCATATTAAAAAAAACCAGCGGGCAAATATTTACTTGATAGTAGATGCAACACCCTTCCTCCTAACGGTACTATGGTGTTCCGTGAACACAACCAATTTTGAGATTGGAATGACATCATCATATGCCTGTCTCGCGATAAAGTATTTTCTACCCTGTGGCAGTCTACTCAAGTCCGCAAAGAAGTAAGCTAGATAGTCGAAGTCGGCATTCTTGTTAAGCTTCTTCTCTGCGCCCTTTACGAAGCAGTCCATAAGCTGATCGAGAGCATTAGGGCTGTCGCTAACTCCCTTCCCCGGGACAGCGCGCTTTAGGTCCAAAATTCGTTGAATTGAGTCGCTCTTCGCCATATTGGCTAGGAGCATCGCGATTAGGTCTGCATGTGCGTTTTCCGGGTCTGTGATCTTTGAGAGCAACAGCTCAAGGAAGAGATCATCGCTTGCGATGTCCTTGAGCACAGCTGAGTCATCGGAGATATTTACTAATATCTTTAAGGCATGGACTGCTCGTGCCTAATGGACGATTATTAGTATTAGTTCACTATTGCTCTAAGTTTCTCGTGGAGCTCTTACTGAAACATCGCCGACAAGAAGTTTAAGGTTTTTGATTGGCGCGAGACCCTCTGGCCTAAAAATTTCAGACTGAGGGCCTTTGCTGTATCCGACTAAGTTCTCAAGCGCTTCAAAAGAGCAATCTGGTCAGTCTCTGTTTTGAAAATAGCCTTCGAGGGTGAAACAGCATTCCGCCCAAACTAATTTCATACCTATTTGTCTGATCTCCGGCCGCGGAGATCCCAAAAACCCTACAAGCTCTTCCTAAATTCCGTAGATTCGATTAGCAATCATTTTGAGTCAAAAAAATGGCGGAGATAATCTCACAAGTTCTGTTGGCATTTTGAATGTACTTCTTGTCTGTTCAAGTAAGATATCCTCTTCAGGTGCAGGCGGTTTCCCCTCATCTAATTTTGTGGGTGCATAGGTAGTATACATGACAGCGTGAGGCTCTTGGTGGGGTGAAGTGCAGTGAAACTTTTCCTAAGATGGTATGGATCCCACGGTTGTGACCGTTGGAGGGGCCAAAACGAAAACAGGTTTAAAACGGCAAGGGTCCATCTTAGTGGATTTGTAACAACAGACCAGCCCCAACTGGAGTTGGCTCCTAGTACTCAGGCACCTACATACATATATTTCCCTATGATTTCCTAATCTATTTTTGTTTGGTATTAATAACTAAACTTGTCTCTTGCTATAGACTTGGTCGCATGCCTGCTTAACCATGAAGCAAACTTCAGGGCACTTGGGCGGGCTGATAAAGCGAGGTTCGTTACTTTGTAGCGCGCATCATTTGCTAAAAGGAAAAATTGGGAATAAAAGTACTAAAGACAGACAGATATAGAGAGGAAAAAAACCCAGTAAGCTGTACAAAGAATGCCAACAACCAGAATCAATAACAATCAAAGCTTCTCTAACCACAGCATCAAGTATATAGCACTAACTACATCTATAGCTACCTACACCTAGATCCCTAGAGTGAACTCAACGCCAACATCGATATCACGCGCTAGATTTGGTTAGCATATCATATAGTAGATCCTGGTATGGGATATAGAAGCTTACCCATCTTAACGACTTTCGAGAACTGCACTGCTTTCTCAGCAGCATCCTGCAGGTCCTCAAATGAGAAAATCTTCAATCCAGAGTCATTGATCTAGAGCCCTCCAAGTCAGTCACAAGATCCAATGAAGTTTTCGGAAATGATCAAGACATTACCAATCTCTGGGCCTCCTGCATGTTAGTGCCTTGGAGACGAGCAACAATTGGGATTCTGAGGTTCATGTTTGACACAGTGGCGATCAAACCCTGGGCAATAGCGTCACATCTTACGATACCGCCGAAAATGTTGACAAAGATAGCAGTGACCTTAGGGTCGCTAGTGATGAGCCTGAAAGCCTGTTCAATAGCCTGGGCAGTAGCTCCACCACCACAGTCTAAGAAGTTTGCGGGCTGGCCACCGTTCAACTTGATGATATCCATGGTGGCCATAGCAAGACCGGCACCATTGACCAAGCATCCAATGTCACCATCAAGCTTGATGAAGTTCAAGCCGTGTCTGTTACACAAATTAGTAACGCAAGACAACGGAATTTACATGTAAGGAAGCTACATACTCAGCAGCCTTAACTTCATCAGGGTCCTCCTGGGACTTGTCCCTCCATGAAAAAATCTCCTTTTGTCTGAACTCTGCGTTGTCGTCGAAGTTCAATTTTGCGTCCATGGCCATGACCCTGTGATCATTGGTTTCGCTCAGGGGGTTGATCTCAATCTGGATAGCATCCTTTTCAACGAAAACTTTGTAAA